AGTTACTTTAAAGTCAGGAATGTCATGTGGTAAATAGGATGAATGTGCCACTGAAAACAGTCAAAGCACGAGACGTGACATCCTTCGTTCTCCATGACCAGCAGCTTTGAAGACAAGACATTAGGACAAGAAGGGGAGGTAGTTATTCTGAAAAATGCAAAATCATTTCATCAGGAATTTGATAAAACAACTTTTCAGAGGTATCTCTGCCATGTAGTTTTTCAATTTCAGATAGCAAACGAAAAGATTTGTCCTCCCCTCAGGACTTGAGAGATTTGCATGGGAAAGCTCTGACTGTAGTTTGAAGTTTATCCCGGTGAAGCATGATTTGATCACAACTATTAAAGGTTATTTTGGATATTTCTACTTCAGTAGCCAAAGTTTGGGGAGTTAACTATTCTTTTCTTTCGAATCAGAAGCAGGTAAAAATTAACTCATAGACTGAGACTATCCAAGATTCTCTCTGTTCGTTGGCCACAACCACATAAATGAAAGATGTATTTCCACTTTACACATCTCCATTCTTCCCAACCTAAGATCAGAGCATGGATCAAAAGGACTGACGTGGATAAAAGGGTGGCGGGCGTGTGGTGTTGTGAGTAATGCACATGTCTCAGCCATAAACTTAGAACGCTGACTATATTACAGATTCACCAGGTCTCCTAAAATTTGGGTATAGCAGGCTAGTCTTGGCATTTTATGGAATCCTGAGAGGCCCAAACCTCTGGAAATGTCCTCCCAATTTTCTTTCTATCTTTTTCCTTTCTTTGAAAGAGATACCACGAGGGTCTCAAACCCAAAAATCACCTTCCCGAAAGACACAAGTCTGGGAGAGAGCTCCTACTCAATTATCCAACCGGAAACACCTGGTTAGAGCATGCGCTTTTGAGAAGTCACTCTGTAGTACTAAGTTTTATCAGTGTCTCTTGGATCTATTCATGGCCTTTGAATTAATTAAGTAATTAATGAATAGAGCTAGAATCTCTAAGCATGCACAGCTCCAAATTAGGTAACTTGTGACCCTCAGCCTGGGCCTTGATGTCTGTGTGGCTGATTTAACACTGGACTCAGTCTTTTGCACTGTAGGGCCATAGTCGTTGTTTAGGAATAATTTGAGTTTTTTGCAGTTCCTACAGTTGCTACAGCCATGAATCACTCTTAGGACAAATATAGGCCCTAGAATGACAGAACAGAGAGCCTGCCAGCATGGACAGCTAGGAAGAGGAGAGGCAAGTGTGTTAAATTCAATCAGCCTGGCTTGGAGGGATGGATCTCAGTGTTTCTGTCAAGCTTTGCCGCAGCCACACTGTTCATTGCTTCAGGTCAAGGGCACATCAACAAGCTTTTCTGGCTGTACTTGGGCCTTTGACTAGAAACCCTAGGTTTTACTTAGACCATGAAATCAAAGACAGTTAGTTAGAGTTGTGAGAGGTCTTTGAAACATTTGAGGCCAATCTGCTTATCCAACAGGTGCGGGGGCTGGTGGCGGGAGTGTAAAGGACTTGCACTGCATCCCACAGCCTGTTCAGTGGCAGCAGTGGGACCCAGACCTGGACATCGAATGCTCAGCCCACCACCTGAGCAAGAACACAATTGTGCCTGAGCTGAAAGGGCAGAAAAAGAAATTTGTTCACTGACATACACACGTGACACTTTCGTCAAAGGCAAATAATCCACCGTAGTCCATGCTGGGGGAGTAATCCAGAGTCATTTACGCTTTCCCGTATGTTTGCAAAGTTCTGAGGTGTGTACATGGTCCTTTTCAGGCCCAGACACCACTTCCAAGCATTCGAGAGTGTGTCCATATGTTTGCAAATTGAGGCCTGGGGGTGGTGGGCTGATCCCCAAACCCTCGCCAGAGTCGATTTCTCACCAGACAGAGTAAATCACACTGTTCACATCAGCTCGGTGGTAATTCAATCAAACAGTAACTGCAAAAATCTGCCGAGCAGGTGTAGCCTGGGCCTCAGCCCATCATGTCTTTCCCTTTCTGACCTCTCCATTCTTTGACATTAAAACAAGGAAAATTTACTTTCCAATCAATACACTACTTCTCTGTAAAAAGGAAAATTTAAAAAAAATATATAAAAGTAAAGAAAGGCACTTTGTAAACCGCGTACAAATCCGTTTCTTTCTCATCTGCTCCAAGAAGACGGGAACGTTACTGAAGGCAGGGCCCCGTCTCTGCGGACGTGACGGCAGCTGCTTGCTAACTGCTAGTGCTCTCTGCTTCCGTGGGGCCCCTACAGGAAAAGGAGTCGAACTCCTCCATCATTTACAGGTGCTCAGGGACGGCCCCACTTTGGACTAAACCAGTGGAAGCGAGTTTTTAGTCAACTGCCTACCAGGGTTGGCCTTAGGCACTTAGGAAGAAGAAAGAAGGTAAAGGTCAATGACGAGGCTGATAGGAAGGAACTGTGCTCCTGGTGAGGCGCCTAATCTCCATTCCTTAAAGCTGACCTCGGGACATTCTGCAGTTTGGGTCATGAGCTTCCATAACTCACCCACTGGCTGTCCTGTTTCCATGTGCTTTGTAACACGAGTATTTAGATGTTTGTTTATAAAAATAGGACTTATTGTGATTCAGAGCGTAAAGCTCTTGAAACCAACTATGCAGTGTTGGTCCGGTAATCTAGGAGGAAAAAAAAAAACAGACTCAGCAGCCAGATGTAAGAGAAGATACTTGGGGCTGGTGGATTCGGCAAGGAGTAAGCATGGCTTGATTCAGCAAAAGATCATTTTTCTAAAAATTAGAACCACATTTAATATGTCTTTTTTTAAAAAAAATCTCATGCCTCTTCCCTCTTATGCATATTTGTACATAATCCTAGACTATGATTCTGTACCTACATAATTCATAACATGCATATGTAATATGTAGGGCCAACTGGAACTGGCGATTTAAAAGGAAATACAAAAAGCACATCACAGAAGAGTACTTGTATTTTGATGATAAAAGATAATTACTTATTAGCTTAAGTAAGATGCAAGGCATTGATGAAATGGTCTTGGCTAGAAAATATCCAGTGAGTCATGGAATCAGTGTGCTGCAGATTAAAAGGATGTTGGAGATTATTTTGGCCCGGTGTATCCTTCAGAGGAGACTGAGGCCCAGAGGAGGAGATTGTTCTGTGTAAGGGGACATAGTTAGGACCAGAACCTGGGGCTCTGGACCTTCCATCTGCATCCTTCCATTTGACTAGCTATTTCCTTGATTTAAAAAAATATTCTACCCATGAAAATGAGTAATTCAAATATAGAGTGCTGACTGACCAAGAAATACAGTCTTGGCTTGGCTTAATGAGCAGCTAGTTGGTGTTATTTTTTTTCTTCCGGGATTTAGTTCAAGTTGAGTCTTTGGCCATAAGTTTTTGCTCTTATCTGCCAAAATCAGACTGTTTTTTAATTTTCAAGCTAGCAGAGTGATTGCTACACATCTTGGAGAACAGTGGGCTATTTGGGGGAAATTTGACCTTGAAGGGCGGAGTTTTGGGTCAGGGCTGCTGAAGGTGGACTGTGTCCCCTGTCCCTCATGGACACTGTGTGTCCTTTTGCAGGTCATTCTCCACCATTATGTGAATCTTAAACTACTAATAGATTTAATTTTTTTTCATCTATTTATTTTTAGAGAGAGGGGAAGGGAGGGAGAAAAGAAGGGAGAGAAACATTGATGTGAGAGAGAAACATCAAATGGTTGCCTCCCATACTGCCCCATCTGGGAACTGAACCTACAACCCAGGCATGTGCCCTGACTAGGAATTGAACTGGTAACCTTTAGCTTTGCAGAATGACACCCAGCCAGCTGAACCACACCAGTTAGGGCCTAATAGATTTTTTAAAATTATGCCTTTTCCTTACATACAGTGTTGTGAAGTCAAACAGACTTGACTTGTACTTTCCAAGAGAGGTGTTACCATGTGCTAAAATAACCTTTGGTGGCACGTCTCATCTAGGGCAGTGCTTCTTAAACTTCACTACACACACGTGTCATCCGGGGAACCTAGCGTAGGGCAGAGTCTGAATCTGCCGGTCTGGGGCGGGGAGGCTGAGAGTCTGCATTTCCATGCAGCGCCCAGGTGATGATGATGCAGCTGGTCCTCAGACCAGACTTTGAGTAGCCAGGGCCTAGGGGATTGAATAAACTGGGACACCTTTTCCAAATGTTCCCCTTACTCTTACAGTGTTTATATATTGGGGGAATAAAGCCTAAGATCTATTCCTTTTGCAATTCCGGAAGTCCTGTCACTGTGTGGACATAAGGAAAGGACTTGCCATCAGGTGAAATTAAAAAAAAAATCAACAACTAGAGGGAGGCAGGTCATGAGTCATGGATGCTGTCTTTGAAGTGGAGAGCCAGGCTTTTGACCCCTCCAGCGGGGAGCCTGCCCTTGGAACGGACTCGGGGACTCTTACTACCATACCCTGGCCTTTGTAGCTGTTCCCACCACCCCACACAGGCTGTTTCTTGAGACTTTTATTTGGACGCGTCTGACGTGAGTGCTGGCTCTGCCTCTGCCAAGATTTTGCAAATGGATCTACTCTGGAGAGATACTAACTCATAGCTTTGCTTGAAACATCTATGCTGCCAAGACTGCTCAGAAAAACAAAGCAAAACCAATCCCCTCTCTCTAAAGCTGTATGCTAGATGCCACCATTCTTCTCTTTATGGTGGCCTCATGAATGTTTGCCCAGAGAAGCGCAGACACCCTAGATTAGCCCCAAGTCCCAAGAGAAGTATTCATTTCTGTCTGTGGAGAGCCCCTACAACCCTAGGCTGGTGATTGTGGTTTAACGTATCCTGGAGATAAAAGACTCAGATAAAATGATACTACACTGTACTGGAAATTGAACGTTGTCATCCACTTCACATTCCTCAGTGGGGTCTGGCTGATGTGCCATTTACTCCACAAACAAGGACCGCGTACACTGTGATGTGCTGTAAATCCCCACTACAGCCTCCTAGCAGAAAATACCGTGCCCACCAAATATGTAAACAGTTGTGCTGGGAAGATAGAAAATACTCTTTTATTTTGCCTAAGTGATAGAAAAATAGTCTTCAAAAATACATTGTCGAGTGTCTGGGTTCGTATTAAAGTAGATTTTTATGTACAGTAAGGCAGTATCTATGTACTGAGCGTGCTGCTGTGATTGTCCTTTAAATTAAAGTTAGCTTGGGGGATTTTTTTTTTCACTAAGAGAAGACTAGGGTATATGATGCATTGTCTATCCTACTGAAATGAAACAGGAAAACATTTTAGGAGGATTCACCGCATCACACTCGTTTGCCTCTTGGGTAAGGAAATTTCACTCTCCGAAATTATAGTCCCTAGAGGTTTTAGAATAACATACCAAGGGATGGGGGTAATCCGTGCTTGACAAATTCAATCACTTGAGAAAAAACGGGAGGCATAATTTTAACCTGCGTGTCAGCAATTGGTCACTAAGGTAATAACAGGAAGGGATGTAAACAGTTCTGTGAGGTGTTCCGGAACGCATCCTTTCTAGAAACGTGTTGTGTTTGATTGATCCTAATAACCCAATGAAAGAGGCGGGCAGAGGCGAGGCAGTTGGTTTCCAGAAGCGGTTTTCACAGCGATGCCCTCGTCTATCGCCTTCCTGCGCTACTGCTCTAGCTGGACCCTTTCAGCTGCCCCTGTCACGTACTGCACCGTGAACGCCTTCCCCAGGGCCCACACCTGTTGGCACTGCCCCTCGAGATTACTAAGCAGCGTGCTGTTATGCCGTGGAACATGCAGTTTTATAACTAACAGCAAAAAGTAAATCTGTAAATCACAGGAAACAAAAGGCTCTGTTCTGGGATCAGCTGTTGGGGAAAGAGGCAACCGGTTGAATGCGGAGCGTGGGAAGGAGTGAGCCGTGGGTCTTTAGCTGTGTCATCCTCACCCCATTCTCGAACTTTCTCTAGCAGAGGACACAGCATGGATGCTGTAGTATTACCTGAAGGAAAAAATCACATTTTAACCAATCATCCCATTAATGAAGCCATCACTGAAAAGAGCGCTTTAAGCACATGGGGTCCAGGTACTCGGACCCCGCCAGCTGCAGACCAAAGCTGCTTGGTACCCTGGTGTAGGAGGCCACGTCTTTCTCGCCTTGATTCTCTTGCAAGGACGGCGGAGGTTCCTCGACCAGCTCTTCAGAGGAAGCTGGGTTTGGAGCGCCCGGATCCTGCACGAACACCAGGATTCTGTCATCTATCACCCTGGACACCTTAGTGTACTCCTGACTGGGGGGAAGGGCCCCGGACTTCTCGGTCTGGTCGCTGTTGTCTCTTTTGGGGAGCAATGATAATGCTCCATCTTTGCTGATCTTGTGAATCGCCACGTAATCCAAGGGTTTCGCGGAGATAAAGGGGACCAGCTGCAGTGGGGGGTCTGGATCAGTCTCAGAATGAAAGCTTTCCACCTCGCTCTGCTCTGCCGCCTTTTTCTCCCCTCCAGTCTCAGCGGTTTCCAAGGGTTGTAAAGCACGATGTTCTGTGTTGTCCAGCGAAGTGGCCAGCATGCCTGGGGTGCCCATGGCCAGCTTACACACATCAGCAATGTTGTGGTAAGAAGCCGTGGCGTCCTGCAGGCTGGGCAGCTGCGATGAAGGCCTTGTTGAAGATGGGGGTCCACTGGCATAGGAATAGGGGGTTTGGCTTCCCAAGCCCATGTTCTGAGAGCCCCAGGCGTGGGTGCCATTTGTTTCAGAGCTCTCTGGTTTCTTGATGCCCTCAGGAGTGTGGGACGCAGATGGGTTCTCCTGGGGCTCCTTATACTTTTCGGACAAGAGTGAAGAGCTGTCACAACTGCCCAGGCCAGAATCCCTGTGGGGAGCCAGGTGTTTGGACTTCGTCACACCCTGGTCCAAGTGTTCTTTCGAGTTGGCTGACATCAGCTGCTGGTTCTCACTGTCAACGACTTCTAAAAGCTCCACCAGCAAGTCCTCGCAGTCGGAAGGGAAGTCTTGGCATCCCAGGGCACTCAGGAGTTCTTCAGACTTGCCCTTCTAATAGAACACAGACAAGGAGAAAAGGCCCTTAGCTTTAAAACATTCCAAATCAGCATCGAAGTCGAGTCTGTGTTCATGACCACGGGCAGGTGGGTGTGGTAAGAGCCTAGCAGAATTCCCCACACTTTCGACCTTTGTGTACCAGGCCATCTATAATCACCTCCTGGAATACTTATTCATCTTATATTTTTCTTCCAGTCAGTCTATGATTTTAACTTAGTCTCTCTCTAACCAGTAATGATCATGAATTTAACGGGCAAGTAGTATATGCACAGATAAAAAAAAACATATAACTATCAAATAAGAAAAGTTTTTGCAACATCTAAAACCACCACACGCAGGCCCTGGCTGGGTTGCTCCCTTGGTTAGAGCTTTGCCCTTTTTATGCCAAGGTGGCGGGTTCGGTCCCCACCCCAGTCAGAGCACATGCAAGAAGCAACCAATGAAAACATAAATAAGTAGAACCGCAAATCAATGTTTCTCTTTCTCTCTCTTTAAAAAAAATCAATAAATAATAAAAAAGAAAGAAATTATAAAACCAGTGTGCTCATACATGTGCTCAGCTCTTTGGGACTCAGTGGCTCTGACTTCTGGTTCTTGGACTGCTAGCCTCCTCTGCTACTTTGTAGAATCTGAAAGCAGTAAGTTGCATCTCACTTCTTCCTCATCCTCTCAACTGTTCTTCTTGCAACATCTCCCTTCCTTCGCCTCTTAACTCTTCTTCTTGCAACAGCTCCCTTCTTCCCTATCTCTTCTTCTCTGGTCCAACTTTTCTCTGTCCTCTACTGCATTTCCTCTCTGTCCTCTACTGCATTTCCTCTCCCCCCCTTCCTGCCAATACATATTTTCTTCTCCTGCTTTCCCTCTCCCTCTTCCTTCTCCTTCTCTCTCATTCTTCCTGCTGCCTTCTCCTCTTCCTTTCCACTCTTCTTCCTGATTCTCTGACTTAAGTCAGATACTGGTGCCTAAATCTTGGCTTTATCACTCATTCAAGGTATTGACCTTGAACAAGCTGCTCAATGACCCTCAGTTTCTTCATCTGTAAAATGGGAATAATAATGCCATATGGGAGGGTTCTTTCGAGGATTGGAGGTAATGTGACTGAGAAAACAAAAACTTTTTTTCTTTGACACAAAAAGTGGTTATTTTATCATGAAGTCTCTGTGGCTACAAGGTCGAATAGACCATACTTAATTTAGTTAGCTGAGACGTACATGCTGGCTCTATCAAGGATAATGGCATAAGAGCACTGAACCAGGAGCCCAAATTCCAGGGTCCTGGTCCCTGCTGTGATATTTGCAGTCAAGGTGAATGCGGTCAAGCCAAATCCCCTGGGACTCTCTTCTCCCATTCTTAGACTGTTGGTCTTGCAGTGGCTGGGTCAATTGATCTAATGCACAGGTAATTGCTTTTACAACTATTGGCGTTGAGCTTAAGGTCAAATTGAAAGTCTATATTTCAACCTGCAGAGAAATTTAGAATGTTCTAACCCCTCTTTCCATTCAAAACACTTAAATGTAACTCCCACCTGAATCAGCCTAACCGGGCCCTGGCCAACACCAGCCCACTGCACTGACCCAGCCTCACCCGAGCGCTCCAACAGGCGACAGCAGCAGCAGGGTTACTCTGGCCTGACGGGAAGAACGCTCAAGGGGGAGCTCTCACCAAAGTATGATGAGGGTAGGGGTCGTAAGCCCTTCTTTGTGTTTAACAAAAGATTCACCTTTTAAAAAATGGATTATTTGTACACAATATTCATGTCCATGCTTTTGAACAGACGGGGGAATCTGCAAGCACTACCAGGCGCTACCATGTTTTCCTGGCTTTCTCTCTTGTCCTTCTGACATTTGATGTCTCCTCGTAAGTACACGCACGCCTCACATATCTTTCTCTAAAGAGGAGGGACCGTGTGGCCAGGCTGAACTGGTGGGATTGTGTGTGTGAGTGTAGAGGTAGGTATTACCAATCGTGACACATTCTCCCCCTCTGGCACTTACCTCCAGCAGATGAGTATCAAATCCTTTTATTTTTGGCCCAGGAACCGGTGGGAAGATGCAGGTCATCATGCTATAAAATAATGTGTGGGAGAGGATAAATAACTCATTTTCTCACTTTGCAAATTCTAAAAGATTGGTGTTATCTGCTACGTGGACTGAGGTAGGTAGGAGTTAGACCTCTGGGGCTACACGAAACTGACAAGCAACGGTGAAGACAGTAAGTACGGAGGCCAATGCCAACATTAGCTCCAGCTCACTGAGGAGGCTGATTTGCACTATTTGCATGCTCTCCTTCTCTTGATTTTAGCTGCTCTTGACAGAATCTTACTATTTCCCAACTGTGAGCTTCCGTTTGATGGAAAGAGCACCACCTTCAAAGGAGTTCATTCTGTGACATTCATTAGCACTAATAAAAGACTTTTTAAAATGGATGGACCATGCTGCAACTAATGGTTAAAATCAAGTACTTGAATTATCCTGTCCGTTCCCATCATCTCGGTATTGGCTTTTAAGAGGATGATTACCCCTGACAACCAGGACCGGGAGGAAGGTTGATAGACAATGAAGTACCTATAGCCCTTCAAAGCCACTGCCCAGACCATAATCAAACAGACGACAACAGAAAGAACAGCCACAAAGATCCACACGGTGGTATCTGTATTGGTGACATCTAAAAAGAAACAGCCAGAGAGCTTTGATCACATACAGTATCATGAAATACAAGCGAACAAACAAAACTAATGAAGGAAACTTTTGAACCCAAGTGCCCCCCACCTTGCCTACACCTCTTTTGACTTGAACTGCAATCTGGAGTAACATTGACCCTGGGTTAATTATTCCAATGTTATTAAATTTGAATGTGTTGCAAGTATTTTAAAGTGCATTTTTCCAAAAGTGTTATTTTCTCTGGTACTTTAAGAGGCAATTTAAGATCACACCATCGACTGCAGTAACAATGACAGGTAACGTACGAAGTTCTTATGAAAAGCCATCAATAATGTTAAGCTCTTTATATACATTGCCTTGCATGTAACGATGAGACTCAGTGAGTGATTACCCATTGGCATGTGACAATAAAGTTGTCGTCCGGGATTTGAATTCAAGCCTTTGCTGCCTCTGGACCCTGCGCTGTTACTCCGTAAGAGCCAGGGCTGAACAGGAGGCCTGCGAGCCTCAGGACCCACAGTTCAAGGCTCTTGCCAGTGTGACAAACCAATGCGAACCCTGATACTCCGGCCAGGCAAGTGGTCACAAGCGCTGGGCTTTGCCATTCGGTTCTGGGCAAGACTTCTAACTGCACAGAACTTCAGCTCCCTTGCTTTCAGTTCTTAACGGCAGTTACAGTCTCGCTGAATGTTTGAGAGGACCGGGAGAACCAGGCAAGGTGAAGACTTTGTAAACCGTGACGCACGTCAGAAATGCAAGATGCAGCATTCTCTTGTGGGATATAAGCCATCATGTCTGATGACAGTTAGAACGGAGTGGCCGCTCTCATACTGGGCCTTGACCGAGAGACCACCATGTCATCGACACCAGAGACTGAAAATCAGTTCGGTTCATGCCTCTAAGACGGGATATCACCTTACAAATTCTAGGAGAACTAGCTGATGACCTTGACTCGATGACAGGGACGGGGCAGGTGGGGAGGGCAGAACGACCATCAAGCCCCCCGAGACACACCAAGCCCATGCCTGCCACTTCCCCCTAAACCCCGGTCCTCGCCGACAGTGACCCAGAGGGCACTGCCACACCCCCAAACACCTTTGGGTTGGGTGGAGACGTTGTAAACCTCCCTCTACTCATTCCTCTAGACTGAGGTGCAAAATCATTTCTTAGTAGTTACGACGTGCACACTTACTAAATTCATTCTTTCCTAAAAACATTTAAAATGATAAGCAAAAGGTCGTCAAGACACTCACCATTAGGTATCTGGATGGAGTTCTCTGGGCCCCACTTACTCCAGAATCCATGGTCGGGCTTGCAGCGAACCTGGACGAGGTATTTCTCTCCTGGATATAAGCTGAAAATCTTGAACTGCGTTTGCTGCCCAGCGAAATGAGTCTAAGGAGGAGCAAGGAAAACGGAAGTCACTCCGACCTGTGCTCTGGAGAGACGAGCTTTTCCCTTGGATGGTAAAACCGTCGGAGGCGTGAGGCCGACAGGCAGATTCAGACACCCTGCTGCCGCCGCTGCACCTTGCCAGCCCGCCCTCTCTACTTTGCAACATTGTTCGCTCCTCGGTTGGCAAGGTTTCTCTCTCCCCATCGGAACTCTGTTTCAGAAAGACAAATATTCTGCGTCCTACCCCCTGCCTTCTAAATTTTACTTTACAGAGGGTGGCCAGTTAATAAAACTCTAAACCTGCCATTTTGTAAACCCTAATGAAATCACTGATCCGAGGGTTATTCAAGGAAACCCACTCACTAGGCATCATGAGAGAACTGGGCATCGTGTTCTTGAAGCAACAGTGACCACGTACACGTGACTTTACGATTCGGGCACCGGGTCGTGATGTCCCTGGCCCAGGGGGTAGTGTCAGTGACCTTCACGGTATGTCAGTCAGATGCTTTCTGTCCCCTAACATGACGCGATAGGAAGCGATAGATGTCGCCTCTGAAGTATTCTTGCCCAAACGTGTTCAACCTGAATCTAATCAAGTCTTCAGAGCTCATGGCTGGCTACAGGAAATATGGGGCAGAGAAATGAGCTAAGTGATCTCCCAAAGAGCTAACCAGACAAATGCAAAACGTAGGACATTCTATGGGGCCAGGGCCTTGTCTCCTGAGCCCGTTGAGGCTAAAAGAACATAATAACCAGTCACCATGTGTGGTCCTAGGTGGATTCTCATTGGCACAAAGTAGCTGTTAAAGATACTGTTTTTGGAAACAACCGGGAGAATTAGAATATGAATTGGCTATTTAAATGATACTAGGGAATTTTAATTATTTTCCTATGTGTGATATTATTTCGTCTATGTTTGATAATGTTTCCTTAAAAAAAAAAAGACATATACTAAAGTACTTAAGAGTGGAATATCTTACTATGGAAATAAGTTACTGTATTATTTCTTTACAATGAAATATTTTAAAGTGCATAAAAATGCTACAGACCATTGACTGGTTACACTAAGATTTTTTTCCCTCCCACTGAGTGCCACTTCAGTGTTTTCATAGGTGCCTAGCTCTAAGATATCCTGAGGGAGGTGGGTCGGAAGCCCGGTGGAAGCATCTGTTCGGTGCAAAGAAGGGATTCGCCTTGAGAGCGTTGTGAAAGTGCACCCCCAGCAATCCCACGAGAGGGGAGAGGGCCCTTCCACATGTGGGTGGCCGCATCCGCGTCAGGAGGACGCCATGATGGCCCCGTAATTAGGAGACATGACCTGTTCCCAGTAGCAAGGGCTTCACCTTTGCCAAAGGGCACGGTTCCTTCCCGAAGCTTCTGGCCGACTCACCTCCCACTCCGCTGCTTTCTCGGGCTTCAGTCGAATTTCGTACTGAAGTGTGAGCCAACCAGAGCTTATGTCAATCAGGCTGGGTGAAGACCATTTTATCCACAGATACGGTTTTTGGTCTTCTGGATGTTTTATCTTCAAAGTCAGGTTCATGGGAGGTTCTGGTTCAACTGAAAACAGGAAAGACACCCTGGGTTCACTGACGGTGGTATTTGAACACAGAACTGTATGACTTACCATTTCATTCCGCCATGGTTACGAGGCACCTTGCCCTCGATGCCAGGTGCTGGTCAGCAGGGTTGGGATCAGGGTGGAGTGAGGGAGATGCATAAGGTGCAGAGTTTAAGGATGCATTAATGGCCAACAAGGAGATGCAAGAACTTCGATGTCATTAGTCATTTAGGAAATGCAAATCAAAATCACAATGAGATACCATTTCACACCCACTAGGATGGTTGGAATTCAAAAAATTAAAGATAACCAGGGAGGATGTTGAAGAAATGGAAATTCTTATACATTGTAAAATGTATATGTAAAATGGTGCAGACACTGTAGAGAAAAATCTAGAAGTTACTCAAATGGTTAAACATAAAATTATCATGTCACCCATCAGTTTCATGCTGTAGCCAACATACCCAATAGAAAGGAAGGCAGGTATTCAAACAAAAACTCAGACATGAGTATTTATAACACTACTATTCACAATAGCCAATAGGTGTAAACAACCCAAATGTCCATCCGTGGATGGATACACAATATCCACAGACTGAAACACTATTCAGCCACAACGAGGGAGTACACGCTGATACATGCTATGGCATGGATGAATCTGGAGAATGTTACACTAAGTGAAAGAAGCCAGATACAAAGGTCACATGCTGTATTCCAGCAATACACACGAAATGCCCAGAATGGGCAACTCTGTAGAGACAGGATGCAGATCAGTGGGGCCGGGGTAAGGAGGGATATCTGGAGTGACTCTTTAGTGGGTGTGAGGTTTCCATCCGGGTCAGGGAAGGGTTCTCGAAGTGGTTAGCAGGGATGGTTGCATAACAGTGTGAGTGATCTCCAATCACTAAATTGCATACTTAGAAATGGTTAAAACGGTGGATTTTATGTTCTATGTATTTTACCACGATAAAAAATTTAAGGAGGCACTTACTTTCAGGTTCCTTCAAGTACATGTCTGTGAGTGCCTCCTTAAGTGTGAGGTGCCTAGGGCGCTAGCTTGCCTTGCTCAGTCGGGCTGCTTGGTAACACTTTTTCTCTTCATTTGTTACCTTCTCGAGTCACCTTCCACATCAGGTGGCAGAGAGTAAGCATAGCTACAGTGCCCTTGACTCTATAACCTACCATTACCTACAAACTGAATGCTAGAAAATCTGGCACTAATCTCAATGCTTCTGTGTTACAAAGTAAACACCAAAGAAAGATTATTTTATATGTACTTACTAAACAAACATCAGTTACTCAATATATAAATTTTAAACGCAATACTGAGAAACACCACTGATAAAAACATTGTTCAGAAACCCATGTACAATGTTCAGGGTGAATACTTTAAAGCCTTCTCAACCCCAGCATTCCTTGTGCTTTGGACCGGGTGATCCTTTGTTGCGGGGGCCGCCCTCAGCAGTGCGGGATGCTTAGCAGCATCTCTGCTCTCTGCCCATTAGATGCCAGTAATACCCTCATTCCCCTCCCTGGGCTACAATGATGAACAGTATCTCCTGCCATTGCAAATACCCTGTGGGAGGCAAAAGAGCCCCCCCATGGAAAATGGCTGCTTTCAAGGGATATAGCAGTTGCCCCTTTTAGAACTTCTCTTGTTTTCACTGTTTTGCCCTCAAATGCTATTTTAACCTCTGAGGGCGAGGCAATTCAAGAAGGTGCCATGAAGAAGATACCATTTGGCATTTAGCATCTTAAAGACTTCATATCGCAAATAGAGTTCTATGATGAAATTCATCGTATCCCCGCTTGTCAGTGGGGCTACCTTTTGGATCTTCTTAAGCCAAGATTACATTCACCTTCTGCCTCCAAGCTCATCGCGATGATGGGCGGAGGGGAGGACATATCGAGTGTGAGCCAGCTGGTGTCGGAAGCTTTCTAAGGGTCAGCCACTGCCGCTAGCACGGCAGTGCGATGCTATGCCCGTGAGTATCTGAGACTCCTCGCCCAGTTTTCTTTGTTGGGTGGACTTAGGTAAATTGGGACGTCTCATGCAACCTGGAGCCCAGTCAGCTTCTCCTTAGGTTGTTATCAGACACGAAGGCTGACCCCAGTCCCAGCCAATCCATCTCCGGTCCTGAGACTCCCTTCGTCATCCCTGCTAAACCACGCGGGCCACGGCAGCGGTGCCGAGTCGCCCTGCAGCTCGATGTGGATCGTGCAAAGCCAGAGGCAGCTCTCCGGTCGACTTCGCTTTGCTTCGCTGATGATGTTTCCAAACATTGTGCTTGTGATAATGGCCTCCAGCCTGCTGTTCAGTTAGCACTCTGAACACCCCCAAATTCTTTATTTTTAAAAGAAGAGCTCTAAGTGCTAAGAAGTATATGTGCACTGAGGATTCAATTTGGACCAATCAGCTGGAGCTCGTCCTGTGGGTATAGAAGCAGACAGACAGCTTCTGGGAGCTGCTGTTCCACGGAATAACTCTGTCCTCCAGGGAAGGAGAAGAGAAATCCCAGCATGCCCATGGGGAAAGGGACCTGGCTGCAGGAGGAGGGCGGGAGGGGGGAATGGATAAGAGACGCACAGATAGAACATTCCTGTTGGATGCAAGGGGACGGAAAGAAAAGTCAAAGGAAAACACAGAAACACAAGGACCCCAAATGCCAGCCTTATTGTCCTGAATGATTCAATAAAAATTGGCTTAAAGTACTCAGTTGATGAGGATATTGTGAATTTTCTCATCTTTTTTTTTTTTTTTGGTGATTCATCCGTAAGCCAAGAAGACTCAAACTGAGTTTGATTACTAGTAGACCCATAATGGAGTAATCAATCCCTCACCCATTGCCCTTCCCCTTACCTACGTAGGCCACGTCCACATAATGTGGGTTGGAGACGCTGCTTCCCATCTGGTTTGTGGCATTTACTGTGATGACGTACACTGTCCAAATGGAGGTGTGCTTCTTGTTAAAGTAGCAGGAGTTGGGGCCGCTGGTCTTGTAGTCTGGACATTCAGAGATGACTGAATCTCTGCAATAGATCATATATTAGGAGTGAGTAAGAAGGCAGTAAAAAAAAGCCTCGTTTTTCCTTAATAGAGCAATACCATTGGACTCTGGGGATCAGAGCTGGATCACCAAACCCCCAAGCTTCTGCGCCCTGCCCGTGTCACGGGAGTGAGACAGGGAAGAGAATACTGGGGAAGGGGGCGGAAGTGTCACTTCAGAGCCTTCATCACTCTGCCTCTCGTCAACCCTCCCTTTCTACAGTTTTCTGTGGGCTTCGTGACATATGCCTCCTGCCAATAAGCACTTGAACTTTCAATAGCCTAGGCATCACCACACCCACGATGCTGCTATTGGGTCACCTCAGGAAACAGGTAACTCCTCCTGCCCATAAGCCCTGAGGGCCCATGCCCAATGCAGCATTTATTGCGCATGTACGAGGTCTGTCCAGAAACAGTCCAGCCGTTGTTAATGTAACAAGAATGGTTAGCGCGACATCGATGTAACCTGAGCGCCAAGGAGAGCGGACTGGAATGCACAGGTATGAACAGTGATGAATTCTTTGTATTGGTCGGTGGGGGCAGTAGACGCCGTTGAGTGAGCATGTGTACTGTGTGGCCGTCACCTTCAAAATGACTGAGTGAGTAGAGTAATAGATCTGCATCAAATTTTGTGTTAAGCTTGAACACTCCTCCATGGAAACTATTCAGATGATTCAGAAGGACACAGCTACGGGCAGCTGGTGATTGGCAGCTTCATCATGACAACACGCCCACTCACGCTTCATGGTTCACGCAGAGATTTTTTGAGAAATATCAAATCACCCAGGTGACTCAGCCCCCTTACAGCCCAGATTTGACATCCTGAGACATCTGGCTTTTCCAAAAATTAAAATCACCTTTGAAAGGGAAGAGATTTCAGACCATGGATGAGATTCAGGAAAATACGACGGGGCAGCTGATGGCAATTAGGAGAACTGTGTGAGGTCCCAGGGGGCCGACTTTGAAGGGGACCGAGGTGTCCTTGTCCTCTGTTCTTGTAACTTGTGTCTTCTTTAGTAAATATCTCTATTTTTCATAGTACATGGCTCGATACTTTCTGAACAGACCTCATATGTCAAATTACATTTCGTTTAAAGAAGACTGAGGAAAATAAGGACCGATGCTGATGCATCTCTGACTGCACTAAAGTCAGCAGCAGAGAGAAGTGACTGTGCAGAAAGACATCTCAGGCCCGCGTGGCTCGTTAGCGCGCTCTCGTTAGACTTGGAGGCCTCGGTGCGAGACACCCCACGCGGGTGTGGGCAGCACTCCACCGGGGGCTGCCCGTGCGGGCTCTGAAGTCTGTGTGCGTGACACCCCTTCGGGTCCCAGAACAGCCGACAGCTTTGTGTGACCAGGGGCGTCCAACCCTTTGGCATGTGTGGGCCACGCTGGAAGAAGAAGAGTTGTCTTGGGTCACGCAGTAAGTACACACACACACATGAACAGAAACCGATGAGCCAAAAAAAGTTTTAAGCAAATTTACGATGTTGTGTCAGGCCACATGCAGTCCACAGGCTGTATGCTGGACACCCCTGGCACGGCCAAGTGCAGGCAGGCTCGGGGGGCGGGCTGCCATGGCCACCAGGAAGCGATCCCTTCGCTGGGGAAGGACCCAGCTCTCCCTGGGCTCCCCGGAGGGTCTCGTCGAAGTGTCAACAGAACCCTCACCCAGGGACGACCTCTTTCAGTCCTCACTGCAGCCTTGGCCCCACACCCGCCCTCTGGGGGGTCCCAGACGAGCAGTTCTCTGAGGAAAATCACCACCTTCCTTTCCTTTTAAGGCTGTTTCTTTTCCTGGGCATGAAACGAGTTTGAAAAGTTAACGTGCCACGGTTGTCAAGGGTTACACGATAGTCCTTTTACGCTGAAAAGGTAATTATTACTAAAATATTATAAGTAACACAATGTTTATAGGTAAGCACCTGAAGTTAATCAACACTTAGTGGACAGTTAGATGGGACCTCAGGCTGCAGCCTAAGTGTGGGCAGGGCAGTAACAGGAAACGTGGCTACCTCGGTCGCTCCTCCTCTGTGGGGGGGTACGTTCTAAGACCCCAAGGAGATGCCTGAAAAGGTGGATAGCACTGAACCTCACATGCGTTCTGTTTTTCCCTATACCTACCCATGTATAGAGTCTAATGTATCAATTAGACACAGTAAGACACCCACAATAACGCCTAATAAAATAGAACGATTATCACAATAGACTATAATAAAAGTTATGTGAATGTGATCTCTCCCTTTCAACGTATCTTAAAGCACTGCGCTCCGCCATCGTCGTGTGACGATGCGAGATGACGCAATGCCGGTGTGATGAGAGGGAGCCAGGGGAGTGACCCGGGCACGGTGACGCAGCGTCAGGCTGCTGTGAGGGTGACAGGGACACACCAGCACATCGGTGCTTAGCCAGCCGTCGATCTGGAAACAGCTACTGAGGGAGTAACGGGGAGGGGGATGGCCATACAGTGTGGGATGGCTCCCGTCCCAGGTGGGAGGAAGCAGGATGGTGTGGCATTTCACCGTGACTCAGGATGGCACAACACTGAAATCTTACGAACTGCTTATTTCTGGAATTGTCCACGTAATGTTTTCGGACTGGGGATGATTGCAGTTGTTCCTCAAACCACGGAGAGTGACACTGTGGATGAGGGAGATCGCTGCGTGCTGTGCCTCGTGGAGGCAACAGCCGGGCTGATGCCCTCCGAGAGAGCGCTTCCAGGGCGTGAACGGGAGAAGGTGGACGTGGGTGCTTGAGTCCTTCCCCCCAGAAGCATGCGCCTGTCGGCGTCAGGCCAGGGAGCTGTGGTGACCCGAACCCAGAAGCGGTGCTGCTTTGGCCTGCGGCGTGGCCACACTCACCCTTCCTTGTGGTAGGTCAGCGTGTAGTTGGTAGGGAGCCCTCCGTCCAGCCCAGGCTTCCACCAACACGAGAAGGTTTCCTTTTCGTTGGAGCGACATTTAGTGATCTCCGGTTTTCCAGGAGGTGACTGTCCTAGAGAAAGCCAGAAGCCGCTGGAGTCAATCTTAGGGCCCATTGGATCATTCTGCTGGTGAGTGGGACCATTCAACCATTCAGTGATGAGGTCTTGGGACAAGCAGGCCTAAGGGTGGGGTGCTCAGAAATGCCAAAGTGTTAGCGTCCAGCAGCCCCCCTCGGCAGGCTGCTCCAGTGTCGGCAGGATGGGTGGGGCGGGGGGAGAGAGGGAGAGAGAGAGAGAGAGAGAGAGAGAGAGAGAGAGAGAGAGAGAGAGAGAGAGAGAGAGGGACTTTGGGGTGGTGTTGCCGGGGGGTGTGTGTACCGGGAGATGGAGACAACAGTCACCTAGGATCGAGTGACATATTGTAACGTTCCAACGAAGAGCGAGAGTCAGGAGTGAGACGGACTGAAGGGTGTGTGGCCCTTTGCGTCATCCCGTGGAGTCTGCACGGCTGATGCTGCCCACATCGTGAGGGGGGCCGTAAAACCAGTTCTTCCCCCCACCCCCACCCCCCCCGCCGTGCCGATGGGATGCTCCCTGGCACTGCCCCACGCTGCTCCCTCATCCACACCTTTCCGCCGTCCCTGCACCCTCAGCCCAGTCTCTGGTCTTCTTTCTGTGTGTCCCTGCATCACCGCCACTGCTCCTCCCCCTCCCCCTCCTCCTCTCCTTTCCCTCCTTTTCCCTTCGTTTTCCCTTCCTTCTCTCCGGCTTTGACTGGTGACCCAGTGCCTCAGTCCCTCTCCCCATTTCTGCATCTTGGTGTTTAGCCCCCTTTTTCCTTCACATTTCCCCCTCTCTCCTCTGGCCTTTGTGTGGTGAGGGGTGAAGGACTTCCTTGTAATTCCACGGCTGTTGGGGGTGGGTGGGCAGGAAACATGGCAAGAAGTGGGGGAGTGGGTAGCTGGTCTCCTGGTGGCCAGTTACCAGGATTATCTAAGCTCTGTGTCTAGCCCCAGCTGGCGGCGGGAAGGTCTAGGGCAGAGGATATGGGAGATGCTATGTCAAGGGGATGGCGTGTTCTCGTTGCCTTATCCCCAGAGTTGTTGGTGAGCTGGCCCCTCTTCCTTGTCTGTCAGGTCCAAGGAGGGATGCATGACCCCGAGAGTTTGCCCTGACATTGGGCTGGGGAGCCACGCACCTCCCCAGGACCGCCCGTCTGTCCTCCTTAGTGCGGAGCTGGATGCAGAGCACTCACTAGTTCTGGAGTCAGCAGCAGAGAGGAGAGCGGTCAGGCGCTGGTCTCAGCGGCTCTGGGGGTTCTCTCTCTCTTCTCTCACCCTTGTCTCCCTGCCCCTCAGGCTGGCTCCTGGGCCAGACTTCCAGCTGACGAGGACGCCAGGCTGATGGTGTCTGCTGAGCTCCGGGCCCCACAGAAACAGCCCCTGCCGGCCAGCCAGCCAGGGGCTCACCCTGCCAACCCCTGTAACCTCGCTGGTCCTCTAGGGAGAATGTCTTCGGGACAATCTCGCAGGTTGAGGCAAGGTTGTTTTTTTTTCCCCCCCTATCATGGCTGGGGGTGGGCAGGGGGGAGCAGAAAGAGAAGTTTATTTAAAAAATCCCAAACCCTGTTGCTCGGTAAGCATTCCTGGTTTGCATCGACTTTTGCTTGGGTTTTTAGTGCCAAATACATTGCAGAAACAACTTTATAGCAGCCACTGACACGGACATCTTCATTTCTCACAACTGCATGGCAAGAGGCAGTCGCCAGGGGCCTCCCACCCTCTCAGTGAACACCCCGGGGAGCTGAAGGGCGCAGGACGGTCTCTTACTTACCTCTCAGGAGGTCGATGCTGAGAAAAAGTAGCAAAATGGGAATTAACGTGGACGCCACCTGGTGCTTCATGCTGGCTCCCTTCTCTCTCTGTGCAGCAGTCAGAGGTCACTGGAAGGGAAGGCACCGGGAAACTTTTTTGAAATGACAGCCTGGCCAGGCACGTGCACCACTTTATTCTGGGCTTGTGCAAAGGATTCCTGCTCCCTGCCTCACGTGACTGACCACACAGGAGGGAAGGAATGTGGGAAAACGCAACCTGGTCAGGCGGCTTGGCCCCGAGTACCGACGTGCACAGGCTGGGAAAAATTCCGCCACCAGAGGTCGTCAGAGGACAACATTGAAGGGCAGCCCCTGGTGGCTGCTGGCTGCCTCCCTCACAGGCACCCCGCACACCAAAGAAAAATTGTGCTCTTTCGTCCCATGGTTACCTAATAATGTATCACCCGCTTCAGGTGGCAGAGGCCGTATGCCTTCCAGGGAACTGGTCTGGGAGGGCTCCACTCTACCAGCCCGAAGAGCACCAGGCTGGGTGGGAGTCTGAGCACACTCGAACAACTCGGTCCAGTTGCCACAAAGTCAGGGGGGCTTTCTCGGGAGGCTCAGGCTGAGCAGGCTCTGGACATTTTCCCGGCTACAGCTGTGGCCTTGAACTACACGGTGAACTCTAGTGAACCCCCATGATTTCTTCCTCCCTGTTGGAAAGGCCCCTTCACCAAGAAATGACAAACCCCAGGAGTAACTCAAGTCGCTTGGGCTCGGGGTGTTGAGTAAAATGTGAACTTGCAGGGTTGAGAGTTTCGAGCCATTTATTATGAATATCAGTTTTACCCCTGGAACAAGTTTCAAAGCCTCTGGATGTCCTTCTAAGAAAAAAGGGCTTTTAAAGACATTTGAAAACGGCTCATCCCAGCTCTCAGAAAACAACAGATTTGATGAACAAACTGTAAATGTTGGGAAACACACGGCATAGATTTTCCTTTTATTTTTAATTTAATTTTAAACCAAGGGAAGAATATCCAGGGGCAAAGCTGCTCATCTTGGGACGTTTGAAATGACTGGGCGTTGTCTGATGAGCCCCGAGAAGACCAGCCTGGCCCAGTCTTCCCGGTCAGGGGCAGCTCCCCGTCGGCCAGCTGGACACCACCTGACAGCTTCCTGGAGGCTGGGTCCACCTGCCCCCCCCGCCCCCCGCCCCCCGAGAGGCCCTCAGAAACACGAGTCTTAGCGACGAGACAGGTTTGGGGCACGCGGGCGTCACTGAGTGAGTCTCTCATATCGGAGTCCTGGGAGCTTGTTGGTGTGCTATTCTTTGGGGACCTTCTCGTCACTCTTTCAGGACTCCTCTCAAACGCCCTCCCAGATTGTATGTTCTGAATGTATTTTTTAAAACCCTCACCCGAGTACTTCAATCCTCTAAAGCGGGTGATTTCATTGAGAGGAGGGAGAAAGAGTGAGAGAGAGAGAGAGACATTGACTGGTTGCCCCCTCTATGCACCCTGATGGGGGACCGAACCTGCAACCTAGGTACGTGCCCTGACCGGGAACTGAACCTGCAGATTTTTTTGGTGCATGGGACAGCACTCTAACCCACTGTACCACCCGGCCAGGGCCCACACTGCACGTTTCCAAACTGCCTGGTCCATCTCACCTCTCAGGACCATCTATTCAAATCGAGTTGTTAAAGGCTCATCCTGGGTTTAAAATCAGGCCTGTTACTTATGGGGCACTTCCTGTGGGCCGAACACTGTGCTAGGTGCCCAGTCATTTAAATTTCGTTCAGCCCTCTTCTCCCAGGAGCCCCTCCAGCAGCCCAGGTTGTCACCAGCCCTTTCACCAGATGAGGACGCTGAGGAACAGAGAGGACTAGTGAACTGTCAGCTGCACGTCACCGAGAGAGAGAGAGAAATTGGGCAAGTCTGAGAGGAGCTGAGGAATCGTCCCCTTCGGACAGGCCGTCTGAGAGACAATGGAGACAACAGCAATAGACCCACAGGGGGCAGCGCACCAAGCCCGGGGCGGGGGCCAGGCGTGGAGTCAGGAGGGCCGGGGCTCAGAGAGGCCGCCTCAGCTACCGCCCGACTGGTGCCTGGGCGTCTCAGACACCCGGCTGCCACTAGCCCAGCTTCTTTGGGTCTGTGGAGCCCCGGAACACTCCTTTGTCCTGGAGGTGTCAGCCTGGCACGGGGATGGAATTCTACCCACTGGCCAAAGGGGTTCTATAACATCTTCTCACCGATAGTCCCCTGGGCTTTGGGGCATCGCGTCAAAATGCTTGAGAGTGACGTGCTATGTACGTCACCCCCTCGGGCGAGGTCAGATGCTCTCCGAACCTCTCGGCCAAACCAGGCTCCATTTGCTTTGTGAAAAAAAATGCCTGGATGGGGAGCAGGGTGCAGGGGGCAGAGGGGCAAGAGCACCTATCGTGGGGCTTACGCCTTCTGGTGCCCTGATCCGGGCTCACAGCGGTTCTCCTAAATGAAGTTTCCCTAGAAAAAAGCCTTCAAAAAATATCTTGTGGACTACAAAGGAGCCACTTCGCCTGGGATTTCCCGAATTACCCTACTGTTTTGCTACTAGACACGGGCACTTTCTGATGCAGCGACACCTCTGTGCTGGGTGGGGGGTGGTGGTGGTGAAACATACACATAGGGGTGTCCTTATTGTGTTTGAACAATGACTTCCCCGTGCTTTCTGCATCTTATTCCCAGCAGGACAAAGGCAGCTGGGGGAGCGAGCCTTCGGAGAGAAAGATGGCCACAGCTGCTCTCTCCTGAGGGAGCTGTGCTGAGTGCTGACACTGGTCACACCTCGTGGCTTTTCCCAGCAACGGGCACACCTCGCGCTGTCACTGTTTCTCATGGCCGACAGACACTTGGTTGGGGATACATCCGGTTTTTGTCTTTTTGAGTCCACTCCCCAACTGCAGGCAGGCTCTTGATCGACATTACTCACCCCAGTCGGGGCTGGAGCAGCCGAGGAGGACCCACGGGCTGTTTTTAGTTGCGGTTGTAGTGGCAAACGGCTCCAGATAGTTGGAGTCCAGTGAGGAGGACGTCAGCCCCACTCCTCTGCCTGGGGACAGTTGTCTTGGCTTCACCCCTCACCAGCTCTCTGCGCGCGGCTACGGTTCGGAAGCGCATGACCCGGAGCGAAAGAGCAGGTCTGCGGCCAGTCACCAGCCCCCGCTCCTTGCCCTGACCAGCTGCCTGGCTCCCTCGCTTCTGGATCCTTGAAGACCCTCCCTTCTTCAGGTTCCTCCCATGATCTTATCTTTTCTTTTTTTAAAAGATTTTATTGGTTTATTTTTTAGTGAGAGGAGAAGGGAGGGAGAAAGAGAAGGAGAGAAATATCAATGTGCGGTGTCCTCTCCCACACCCCCTACTGGGGACCTGGCCTGCAACCCAGGCACGTGCCCTGACTGGGAATCAAACCGGCGACCCTTCGGTTCTCAGGCTGGCACTCAGTCCACTGAGCCGCACCAGCCAGGGCACTCCTGTTTTCTTATTCAAATATGCCTTCCCTCCGGCGATGTCCTACTGTGGCAGGGCCCCACAGGACCCTCTTCTCCTTATCAGTGCTGAGACTGCTCAGATCTTCTCTTTCTAAAAGCTTCCCTTCATCACCCTTTTCCATTAAAGCCAAGTGTCTTCGTCCTGGCCAACAGCTGAGAAAGAGGTCTGGCACTTCTTGCCCTGGTAGCTCTGAGCAACGAGAGCTGCTACCCCGGATGGACAATAAGGGCCGTGGTCCCATTGCCTGATCCACTCCCTATGGTAGAAAATGCAGGTGCACAGCACAGGAGGCAGCGGCCCCTCCTGAGAGTCCCAAACCACTGACCCGAGACTCCGCAGTCTGTGAATCTGCACATTCCAGTGCACCCAGAACTCGAGCCAGTGCTGAACGCCAGCCATCTCCGCTCCACCACGCTGTGGGACCTGCTCAGGAGTCCTGGTACCAGGTGATCCCCAAAGCAAGCATGGTCCCTACCTTGCCCTGCCTCATTTGCCATTGTTCCCCTAGTGTTCTACTCAGATTCTTGAATCATTTCCCCTGGAATGGACCACGCATGCCAGGAAGGGATTCTGAGGACCTCCCTAGTTCTTGCAAGCCCAATTCAGATGGACAAGCCCTGCCCAATCCAAGATCTGGACTTCTTTAAAGGCTGTCATACACAAGACATGTGCAAATCCTAAGTGTTCTGCTCAATGAGTGGGATCACAAAGTGAATGTTCTCACATTACGACCCAGTCAAGGAAGAGAACACTAGCAGCACCCCAGTACCCCCACCCCAGATGTCTTCTCCCAATGTCCCCCATTGAATCCTGCGTTATGCGTTTTTGAATACATGTGTCTGGCTTCTCTCATTTCAGGTTATATGAGTCAGCCTTGTTACACGTTGTTTTACAAAATTCATCTTCACGTCACTCATATCTCATTGAATAAAAGACCGCAGTTTATTTATTCATTCTAGTCCTGATGGACATGTGCCAGTTTTGGGCAAACTTTGGATTGTGCGAAGACTGATCAAGGCTGAGATGGTGGGGAAGCCCCGCCCCCCTCCCAGCCACGTCGCACCCCTCCCCTCAGCTCCCCACTGAACTGGTAGGACACTGTCTGTCGGGTCTCCTGATTATTAACCCAAGTTCTATTTCAAATGCTTTTCCTTCCCTCAATATGCACATTTCTTGGAGGTAAATTTTAAATACATCCACTCACTGTTTTAGATGTTAGACACTGTATTAGTGCTTCCTTTGGGGCCTGCAGGGCTGGGGTCCTCTGCCCACCTGGGTTAGGTGGCCCGAGCCTAGACTAACAGGGTGAGAACCCCACGGGCTCCCTGTGACTTCCAGGCTCGTCTCTCTAGTACAGAAGGCAAGCTTTTAGTCTGGAAAACAGAGGGCATAATCCGCTGCTCGGGGTGGGGCGAGCAGGAGGAGGGATTAGGGATTGTTTGCCAGGGAACAAGATTAAGGCCTCACACTATACACGCTCTGCCCAAAGTCAACAGCCGACGACTGCAGGATGAATAAGTGAATCAACGGAGCCCTAGAGGTGAAAAAGCGGAACAAGATGCTGAGATACGGGATGAAACTCTGCGCAGAGAAGAA